ACTATATATAAAAAAGGTTCACATTGGGAATTTTACTGTCCTCTGAAATAAATACCTGACCATCTTCCTTAGAATATGACTTCAATAGAGCATCTTGAGTCAGTTAAGTCTTGTACTTATTCCAGATCCATTTAGAGCACCAAGATACTGATCACATACACAGACAGCAAGGTTTTGCCTACATGAGGGTAATTTTGAGAAATTTTCTCTCACTTTTTAGCATTCATTCATCTCCAACACTAGCAGCAATATGGAAGTTCCAAGAGGTGAAGAAAGGGATGCCCTTGCATATCAATAAATAATAAAAGCTACATCTGAATAACTACCTATTATGATTTCATTAATATAACTGAAATAATATTTAACAATTTTAACAGAAGGTGGCACTGTTCTCCAGTTTTAATATATTAATAATCTTCAGGAGTGCATTTTAGACTTCTTTAATGTAAACCCTAAGGCAGGAGAGTCTGAATTAAAGAACAATCATGTGTTGATAAAATGAATGTGGAATTGTTCCCATTTAAGTGGGATAAAAGGAAAGAAAGGCTCTAGAAATGACAGAAACAAGGATAAATAATAATCTATCCTTTTAAATAACAGTACATATTTTCCAGGTCATCAAAACATTAATAAGAGTGTCAGTGAATAAACACTTTGCCTCAAAATCAAATTTTCATTTTAATTTTTTGTTATAGTTAACAACCAACAGCTTGAGATAAAAACTGTCTGTCATGTTATTATGTTCCTTATTATTATGTTCCTTAGCATTTTATACTAATTTCATTTTGTTAAATAGAAAACCTATCTTTCGAACTCTTTTGTGAGTCTGTAATGACGGCTTTGGCCTCTGCAGTAAGATAACTGTTGGACACTAAAGACGAATTTGCTTTTAACTACAGGAAAAAAAGATCCTGAGTGAAATATTGTTCTTATTTGAGATATATACTTAAGGACAATCGAAAGTCACTGTAGCTGACGGAATATTCTTCGGCACAATGATATGGTTCATGGAAGTCTGTTGAAAAACAGATGTTAGACTTGATGATCCTCCCTGAGGATTGCTTCAAACTCAGGATATTCTATGATTCCATGAGATGTCTTGAACCATTTGCTCAAGTGGCCATAGAAAATCTGCCCAGAGAGAAAGCAAGCAATTTCATGCTTAATAACAGAAGCATAAAAAACTGATTTCTGTTGCCAGAAATCAATGGGCAGGCCAGCTAACACTTCATTTCAGAAACAAACAAGCAAACAAATAAATAAATAAAAAGCTGAGTTGATATTTATATTATACTCTTCAATTCTCTGTTTCTGAAGATGAACAATGTCCTTCTTAGAGGTTATTATTCTAGCTATGGTGATCATTCTCTTTAAGCATAATGGAAGAAAAGCTGATTATCCTCAATTTCACTTTCTTGTGGATAAAACAGGATTTGGCCTACGAATCCTGCACCTATACCTCTGGCCTGCAGCTTCTTTCCCATCCTGAAAACCTTCTACCTTGCAATCTGGGGGCACTGGCAGACACACTTCAGTTCCGGAAGTCCCCTGGAATTTTCCTGAGTCAGAAATCCCTCACTCTGAGGAAGGACACAAAGAGGTCATGCTGAGATTCTATTGCACAGCTTCCAGACGCATCTTGCACAGAGGACCCTCCCGTGTTCACAGCCAGTCAGTACAGAAAAGGAAGGGAGAAGGCAGAGGGAGTGTGAGGAGAAAGGACTACATGGAGGAAAGCAATCTCTCTGACTTTTTAACTTGTCCTCATCCAAAACAACAAGAAATTCGACCAAAGGTGAGAGACAGAAATAAACAGTTAAAAAAAAAAAACTGATTAAAAATTTACAGGAGATAGATGAACAAGGATACTGACTCACAGACACCAGTATGTTTTCCTAGAAGAGTTTAGAGCAATTTGGAAAACGTAATCAAACACTTCATGTATTGCTAACGTTATTCAATGTTTAGTTCAAATGTGGAAGAAAAAAAAAGGTACTTATTGGGTTATTTACTAAACTTACCTGAGAACAAGGAATAGTTAAACCTCCATATAATTAGCCATATGATTAAAAAAATGTAATTCCAGAAAAAGGAACTGTCCTTTAAATTTGTTAAATCAATCTTGTGATGAAAATTATTGTCTTCATAGTTACGTATACATTAAAGTTGAAACTTATTTTACTTACACTTCTTGCTTAATTGCTTTAGTGCACCAAATATTTTTTTCTGAGCTAAGGCTGAAATAGGCTGCTGTTTTTTATGGTTTTAGTGTCCTGGCATGTCTAGTCTGGCAACTAACATGTCATACTTAAATTCCTTTAACAAATAATCCTTGTAGAGTTCTACTTCCACAACTGTCTCAGTTTTAGAGAAAAAAGTTTAAGCTCTAACTATACAGGTGTCCATATAAGGCAAGAAGATGGACAAGTTCTTTGAAAAATCTGTTTTTCTCCGTGTGATTACTTAAATTGCTACTGAATACAAACACGAAATAGCAGGAATATTATGCACACTAATATGACACAGTTTATCCTCATCATAAATTGTGAACAGTAGCAACTATATGTGGAACTTTCTTAATGGCCCATTAATGCAGGAGGCTGCATCAGAAGTAATATGAAAAATCAACAGATTGAGCCTAACGCAATGCTTACTGATGCAGTTCCACTGATATTTCAATGAAATCTGTGCAGAGATGTAAAGCGGTATCTTCCTGTACAACATTAAGTGTGCGTATTCAGTGATTAAGAAAAAAATAAATAGACTTTAGTACCATTTCCAATCCATAAACTCACAAGTGATAAGTGGAGTGAAAAAAACAGATTTCACTTCTGCTTCCAGATTGTCAATATTGTTATCAGTGCTAAAGACCTATTTTTTGACTCCAGAATTTTATCCAAAGCTCTGAATTAACTTCCACTGGCAGACTCCCCAGCACTGCTACTGTCTTCCAGCAATGCCTGCATTTACTTCTGCCAGCTCCTTTTCAAGGCAATGGATGAGTGGAGATGTAATTAAAATCATCATTGAAAAATGTCTGACTGCAGAGACAATCATTAAACAACAGAACTAGAAAATAACTGTCAGTATCCTGTGGTTTCAAGGAAGAGCTCACTACCAATGCTTCATCCTGCTATCTGCCAGCATTTTACTCTAAAAAGAAGATACTTTTCTTCCTGAAGGCAGATAGAGATGCTGCCATTCTGGCTGAGCAGTTCTCATGAACAGAACAAGGAGCACAATGTTTCTTAGGGGCTATTCTTGCTTTCTTTATTTTGTTCATCTTGCTCCTGAAGCGGCTGTGTGCATGAATGACTTTAACTCTTTGTGAAAAGACGATATAATGCCGTGCCACCAAATGATCAGCTGTTAATACTGATAATGCTAACATACTGTGGGAGAAAATGAAAGGGGAAATCATGTGCACTGAGAATGGAATGAAGGAAGCAAGAAGGAGAGTGCTGACCACTAGGGAGAAGAGTGGTGGGGATAATAGTGAGGAGAATGGGAGAAAGTGGGGTCTAGACATAATGTAGAAAGAATATTGGGAAAGGTTTGGTGGGATGAATGAGGGATTTATGCAAGGAGGAATGGGACAAAATGTGAGTCGCAAGAGGAAAAAATGGGAAAGAGGTTGGGGAAAGTGAGAGAAAAGAGAAAGAAAGAGATGGGAGTGTAGGATGAGAAAAGGGAAACTGGAGAACAGGAAGGGACAACAGCAGAGACAACTTCTGGGGAGAAGGATGCAGGGCAGAGGATGTGTAGAGTGTGAGAACAGGAGGGAGGATAGTGGCAAGGACATGGGAGAAGGACAGCAAAGATGTGGGATGCAAGTGGGGAAGGCAGGGGAAGACAGAGAAAAGACAGGGCATGGATGGGACAGAGAGAAAAGTGCTGGTGAGAAGACTGGGGGTCTCCCTTATTCCTCGCATCTTTGCTTACAAGACGTAACTTTGGGAGCACAATCACTGCTGTCCTCAGGTGTGGGCAAAGACTCTACAAGAATGTAGAAAGAATGTAGGGGAAGAAAACTGCCCTTTGCTACCTGGAGCAGTGGCACAGGGCTACGCAGACCAGGCTTTTATGACTCTGGCAGAGGAACTAGCTCATGTAAGGATTCAGCTTAGTAATGCCCCTTGGAAATCTACAGTACTCTGAAAGGAAATCAAGACATGAAATTTGCCAAAGTATAGCACAGCTCCCAAAGTCTTTCCTCGTCCCACAACTTCCAAGTCTGCCCTTTATGTTATAAAAATATTTGATTCCACAACATCAATGAATATTCAATTAAAACATCAAATGAAAGCACAATAAACTTCTCACAGCTGAACAAAAATGCTCTCTCACCAATTCATTTCTCCTCCATCAGGAAGAGAAAAACAAAAGGGGATTAATCTGATTAACAGAGTGAAAAATAGCACTGAATGCACTTTTTATCAGGGGGAGGGCAGGAGGATGGAAGATCCCCAGCTGGTTCTCATATACATGCCATGATTCTTCATTTAGTTTACACTATTAAACTCAAAAACTCTGCTTTAATCTTAACTATTACAGTATGCCTTAGAGTAGATTCTATCATGTAGCATCCTTGATACAATTTCAGACTCTGGCAAAACATCATCCCTCAAACTGGTCATGGCCATATGGGTAGTAAATGTATCCAACATTTTTTCATTGGCGCCTACATTATTACATCTTGTCACCAATGGTTTCTCAGGTTTTCAAGTAAATTGTTGCATATACTGTGGTTTGGAGCTGCTGAGATGAAGCCCTACACTTATCTGTATGCAGCCAAATCTTTTTTTGGAACTTTTTTTCCTTCTAATAAACTAACATCTGTTGAAATAAAATAAAAAAAAAAAAAATCAAGCTTCCAGAAAGCTGCACAAAAATGAGAGAAAACAAAACAATAGAGTATTGCCAAGAAGAAACTGTTGCCAAGTTGTAAGTGATAAAAAGCAGCCTAGAAAGTGATGGGTGGACAGAAGTGGGGATCATACCTGATCTGTCTTCATTTTGTGAATCACACCTTCTACATAATTCTGGGATAGTCTTGAGAGAAGTTATAGAGTACTGTAAAAAAGGAAAAACAAAACAAAACTAAACATCACATAAATAATTTAAGAAGATGAAAGGGAAGGCTTTCCAACAGGTTGCGATACCATTGGTAATGGCTAGATCTACCAGGTTGAGGGTACGTCAGGCAGTCGGTGCCCTGAGATAGCACGAGAAAGCGGATGGTGTCAGCTTTTGTGTCCCACAATCTGATTTCCAAAGACACAGGAAAGTATCTCTCCCCCACAGCAATGCTTTTTGCTGTACATCAGTTGTTCACGTCACAAATATATTTCATACATTCTTTCCATGGGATGTATAGGTACATCAAGTATGAGAATAAATTCGGACCTCACAGTAAATCTAGACTTCACTCTGCCCACCAGACTTGTACTGTGGCATTTATATTGCAAGTTACTTCGTGATTAACAATTAGAATTCAAATTTTCAAAAGGCACTATGTAAAATTAACGAAGAATATTTACACCTTACAGGTCTGTTTTCAGAGAGAAGTACATATGCATTCTTATATCAGACCATAACGCTCATGTCTGGAATTCAGACTTTATTAAGTTAACCTGCGTTGCTACTTCGACACGGTAAGATACACCTGACTATGATCAGTATGTTCTCTCACTGCAGCATTAAAAGGGAGAGAACCAAGGATAATGTATGCATCTTACCAAAAATAAATCTTCCTCTTTGTTTTATAAACTTGAAGAATGCCCTCAGTGGTATAAGTAACCCAGAGTTATACAGCTATAGATTCTGACATACAGGAATTAAGTTACTAAAGTGAAATTAAGTATCTAAAGTCAACCTTGTGCAGAACCAACTGCGGAAGTTATTTACTTCTCTGGTGAAAGTTCAAGTAAGTCTGTTGCTCAGTTGATTGCAGTTAAGTTATAGAGCTTGACAAACCTCCCAAGCCTGTTTTTCCCATGATGTTCTGATCAGCAATGAATTGATAAGCTTCATCTACAACAAGTACTCCCAGGAAGAACACAACTTACTAATTAAAACATTTAGGACAGAGCTGCCATGTGACTCCCATCCACATTAAAGTGGGTAACTATAGGGCTGTGACTGCATCCGATCTGACAACTTGAAGCAAAAACAGCAGAGGAACTGACACAGGGAGAAAGAAAGATGCTGTTACAATACGAATTATTATAAGTTAAACACACACAAGCACAAACACCATATGCTTTACTTCACTGTAGTTATTGTTTAATAAAGATCAAGTTGTTAAGCTATACATCTTGCTATTTCAGCACAAAGTCTCTGAAGGCAACGCTGAACTGGCCTAGTAAGATTCTTAAGAGAATCCAAGAACATGTCTCCAAGGAATATGGTAGCTTCATAAGACCAGCTGGTGCAGTTTAAACTATTACACAGTTTGTAATTCAATTAGAACAAGGCCTTTTGTATTTCACTGCTATGTGCTTTGTCAGGCATCCTCAAAAACAGGAAGACTTTTCTCTTTCTGTCCTTTTTTCTGTTCTTCCTGGAAGAACAAATTTTCTTTCAACACTAAACCAAAATGTATACAAGCCTCTCTAATAACAAAAAAAGTTTAGTGTTATGAATTCATTTATACATTTTAACATTTTAGTCATATTGGTTTGATATCCTTAACAGGTTTCCTCCCACTCATCTCTGCCCTCAAAAAGACTTTTGCATACTTACATTTCTGCCATATGTCTTTTCTGGTCAAGAAGTGGAGAACTCACTGAAACTAATCTTTTAAAAGGGACCTTTCCCAACCCTAAGTACAATGCATTGTCAGCTCTTCCCTCTACAACTACTTTCTTTTTTCTTATACTCATCTCTCATTCATCAGTTAGCTTTGTTAGCTTTTCTTCAAGAGGGAGCTTCAAGGCTACTAGAGGTAATAGCAAAAGAGGCTAACACTGCAGCTTTTCCCTAGAATGTCATTCAGATTTACTGCTATTCAATTTTGAGTTCATTATTTCCTATTTTTCTTTCTACGTTCTTGTTTCACACAGAAAATGTAACCCACGTCTCCCAGTCTCCCAGTAGAGCAATCAACTAAAGCAAGAGCCAAGGGCCGTGACCATGGGCATGAGTATCAGTGAATGGTAAAGAGATCAGCGTGTTTTGTTAGTCAGTGTATGTGCTTTTTGCTAATTAACAAGTGTGTGTTGTTGTTGACAGAGAAATTCAGTAATTGGCATCTTCCTAGGACAAGGTATGCAATGGCCTTTTTGATTGCTGATTGACAGTTGGTGCCTTTTTTTCCCTGCTTTTATGGCATGCCAATGGCCAACCTGTCTTAGTTTATTTCAGCACATCCTTAAGGACTTTGTAAAATGGAAGAACAGTATTAAAAGCAAACAAAAGACAAGAGGCAGGCACACCTACTCCATGTGAATACAAGATATTGCCAATTTTCCAATTCATGGAAAAACAGAATCTCCCTTAACAGCTTATCTCACAAACACTTGTAAGTCAAGTACAACTGGGCTACAGAATTTGAATGAATGCAAAAGCCAATGTTTTGAATTTCAGCTGGCTTGCAAATTTTAACTGAAGGGACTTTAAACACAATATAAGAGAAATAAAATTTCAGTCTCTGTTGAGACTGTAACTTCTCTGCCTCTTGCAGACTCGCATATGAGAAATATCAGAGAGAAGAAATACTGTATTACGAGGTGTAGCAATGTATGAAAGGCCAAAAAACAAAAAAGTGAAAATGAGCAAGTTTGCATTGTAGAGAATACTTTTAAAGTCTCCTGAAATTGAGTAAAATGGCAAAGTTGGACACATAGTGTGACTCTCAGACCATGTCATCAGAATGTGATATCCTCAAAACACTCCAGACCGTGTCCTGCTCCTGCTGAAACTGACACCAAACTCATCAAGTTCTTGGACACTGGATCAAGACCTCAGTGATTGTGTCCTGATCTGAAATTTGCAACTCACTGTTTTTATTTAGACGGAGAAAGCACACACCTCCCTTCATTATAATAAATTTGTTTAGAATTGTTATGCTGTAAGCCAACCAACAGTCTCATTTGATTTTATTTGCTATATTGGAAGACACACCACTTAATCGCTATTCAAATCTCCTTAAATTAAAACTTCTGCAATAACATTTCATGTAAATTTTGTGTAACATTTACAGAAAGAGTTGTTAAGCACTGGAATAGGCTACCAGAGAGGTGGTTGAGTCACCATCACTGGATGTGTTTATAAACCATTTGGATGTGGTGCTCAGGGACATGATTCAGTAGAGGGTTGTTAGAGTGAGGGTAGTATGGTTAGGTTGTGGTTGGAATCGATGATCTTTAAGGTCTTTTCCAACCTGAGTGATTCTATGACTCTACGATTGGCAATATCACCCTTTTTCCCAGACACTTGAGAACAAGTAAATAACAATGCTTGGCCTAAGAAAGATTTTTCTCAGTAATTTCTAGAAGAAAAATGGGAAAAAAAAAAGGAAAATGAAGATTAGCCTAGAACTATGTCTGTGGGAAATAACTTTCTTTGGAAAACCTCTTAATGGATATGATCAACATCTTCAGAGTACCAATTAGGTTATTTGTGCTATGTACTGTTTACCTGTATGTCCCTCCAAAAGTAATTCCTCCTATTTATTTTCATGGAAACTACAACACATACAAAGAATACCATAACTCCATTTAACAGATCAAATTCTCAGCTATAAAACACTATTTTTCAACACAGTTACCCCCACTAGCAAGGCATTTTCACCAGCGATGAACAAGAGCCTGCACGCTGTGTACGTAAAAATCTCCACTATGTGTGCATGGCAGCCTGGAACTTGACTTGTTTTTCACAGAATCACAGAACAGCCTGGGTTGAAAAGGACCACAATCATCGAGTTCCAACCCCCTGCTATGTGCAGGATCACCAACCAGCAGACCAGGCTGCCCAGAGCCACATCCAGCCTGGCCTTGAATGCCTCCAGGGATGGGGCATCCACAGCCTCCTTGGGCAACCTGATACAGTGCGTCACCACCCTCTGAGTGAAAAACTTCCTCCTAATATCCAACTTAAACCTCCCCTGTCTCAGTTTAAAGCCATTCCCCATTGGCCTATCACATCTCTGTTGTCTGCAACTGGAACTGAATTCACATTGAATTCACGCTACCAACTGTGAATTCAGTTCCACACCTTTGCTTCCTCTGCACTTCTCTGTCAGGCGCCATTTAGTCAGACTGCTCTCTGTCACACAGCAATAGAATGTTAACAGAGTCTTGGTGGGAAGGTTCAACCCCACCTGCCATTCCACCGCTGTTCACTTCTGATGCCATGGGCCAACATTATGAAATAGGAGAATTACTTTTATACAATTTTACACGCATATTTCATGTTACTCTTCTAATTTTAAAGCAAACAACATTGATACTATTGCTATGCAAAGCCTGAATCTAATACTCTATATACATATTTCTGCTTCTATCTTGGGCTCTATCTTTGCCAAGCAAAGATGGACAGAAAGAAGCTTTTCGATGTGTGTCAACATACCTGGCAAGTTGACAGCTTCTTAGTCACCTCCTCATTTATAGATAAAATAAAGAGAAAAATAGGGAAAAGAAAAAGTTTAAAACATAATTTTACTTACAGAGTTTATCTGTTGTTTTAATGAAATGTAAAGGTGTTAACGTCTGTTATTTCATCATTTTTGTGTGAATTGTTATTCAAGAATAACAAAAAATATTCAGATTGTTTGCTTCGTGTTACTAAGGAAATAATGCTACTTTTACTTAATATAAGCAAGAGTCCCATAAGTCTATTCTGCTGTTTAAACTACACTGAGATATGCTGTATCATACGTATCTGTTACTGTGCCATCCTAGTTTTCAGAATAAATATCATATTTCAGAGATATGTGCAATTCCATTATGTAAAAAAAACAGCGTTCAACAAAAAAGGAATTGAGACAACTTACATATCCAGGCATTTTTAAAAGAAATCCTAGACTATCTTCGATATCTATTATATTTTAATCATTTTTGGAGAAAGGTTCTCTATGAGGAACTGTGATAGCACAGTGCTTTCCAGTTCAGGTACTTTTACAAGCACATCAGTCTAACAGTGTTCTTGCTGCCATTATTTTTGACCAGCACTTTTCTGCTCTGGATTAAAACCAGAGTGCAAAAGGGAACAATTTAAATTGTTACCACCAGTGCTGTGCAGCTGCTCCTTCCACAGCAGGCTAGTGGTAAAGTGTGCAGGCTGATTATCTCAGAATGGTACGTGGTAAGATGTGACAAGAGCACCAGAATAACCAGGAATTCTCTTATAAATCTGGTTTCTGGCAACAAATCCTTCATTCCCTTACTTGTGAAAGTAGAACTAAAAGCACAACCTCCACAATTGGTGCTGGTTTTTAATTCAAGGCTCAGCATCCAATAAGAGAGCAGCACATTACAGCAGGCAGCCGGAGCCAGTCAGTGGAAAAACAAGTAACCTAACCCACCAGCATGCAGCAACAGCCACAACGGGAGAGACACAGAGAGGTTATATCCCTTATGTTTTACAGTCCTGCAAAACTGAGCACAGAAACAGACACCAGGACATGATCTACTATAGAATAGTAATAAAAGGAAAGTTGCCCCAAATAAGGTATTCTTCCAAGACTGGCTTATTGTCCTGTTATATTTTGGGCATGTGCCACATTCCTCTTTAATAAAAAATCAGTGTTACAATAGGTAAAAGTAAAACCCTGTTCAATTGAACCTGTCTGTGAGTACAGCACTTGGAATGCTTTAAAATGAATCAAGAATCCCAGAAGCTCAAGGAAAAGACAGGCCCTTTGTTAAACAAGCAAACAAAGAAACAAACTACAAAGCAAGACAAAGCAAAACAAGAAACCCGAACCAAAATAAAGAAAAACCAATACCTTAAAAATACAAACAAACAAAACAAATTAAAAGCACTGCCACCAACCCCACTACAGTTAGGAAGAATGTTGAAGGAAACAGGACTTGAAAATTGAATTAATAAATACTTATGGAGTATTCAAGTCCCTCATTTACTAGGTACATAGTACCTAGTACTATATTAGCAAAATATATTAGCAACTCTATTTTCACAAAACTCTATTCCACAAAAAGCAGAAACATTAGCAGGAGGAACACTGCTATGAATAACAGGACAGACTGTGTCGGTGTTTCAAACAATACAGTTCATGCAGTTTATAAGAACAGCCTTTTTGCTCTCATTTACAGACAGAGCTATTTTAGGCATGACATGAAGGAGAAGCACTCTGAGTCCCTGGAGTCTGAGGCTGGCCTCTTGCTGCACTCTACTGCATCACAATTAGCTGTCTCACAACTACACATAACATCTTGCTAGCTTCTGTCAGAAGGGGCAGAGCTTACATGGTGAAAGAGCAGTCCAGACAGGACAGAGGCAAGAGGGTTTTTTACAGTGGAAGTACATTTGATTAAAAAAATAAAAAAAAACGAGAAATGTGAGCTGTCACTTCCGTGTCTAAGGCCAGCCCAAGAGAATGTGTAGCTCATTCAAGACAATCGTAACGCATAAGCAACCCAGAAATAAAACCAATATATTAATTTGACTCACAAACCCTTTTTAATGAAGGTAGAAGGCTTAAGCTGATTAGTCTTTCTTTACAAAATACCAAATTTAATTCTAGATTCAACATTTTAAACATTTCCGTGGGTAAGGTAAAAAGTGTTCAAAAAAAGAACCTTTTGTTGTTGTTGTTGTTTTGTTTGTTATGGCAGCACTAAGATACCTAAAATTGTCTTAATTCATATAAACAAAATAAGACAAATACTTACCGATATATCATCACTAAAGTCTATCTCATCCAAATCAAGGTATTCAGGGGCTTCCATTATTCTTCTATGGACATTTTTGGTGACTCAGCATAGTCGTAAAGACCTAAATAAGAAAAGAAAAATAGGCAATCTAATGAAGTCAAAACCACATAGAAATAGTTTAATATAGTTATTTGATCATTGAAAGCATGTGAAATACACAAGCAGGTCTTCGGGAGATCAATCCTCAAAGCAAAAAAATAGTTTTTCTCCTATACTCTGCATATCATGGATTATCTTCTGTTAAGGATGCCACTCCTTTGCTACCCAGAACACAGCTCATCACTTCTGTTTTCCTCTGCTCAGGATGGCATACAAGAAATGAGAAGCATGTGATGCACAGAAACCAAAATTCTCTCACACCTCATCTCCACTCCTCCGTACAAGCAACAACACAACACAGATGGTCCTTTACAGGTGATGATTTGTCTGTCCTCAGTCTCTATCTGCACTTCTTCCCAAGCAATAACCGGGGCAAAAACAGAAGTGTATCTGCTATGTCCACCGATTCTCGGAGATCTTCAATACATCCTCATAGAAAGGGGAAAAAAGAAGCTAAAAGTCTCTTTGCAAAGCAAGAAAATGGCTATGAAATTCAGTATGTACTTCTGAATAAAGTGGAGCTTAAACAATCAGATCAAAGACAGCAAAACACAACTTTCCAAATCCTAACTAGAGTGAATGCATGTGTTATCACTAAAGATACGTACAATAGAAGTGAAAAAGGATGCTATTTTAAAAGCTGGTAAAAAAGTGGTAATTGTTTTTACAAGAAGTGAGTCGCTATGTGAGTATTAGGTATTATGATGGGAGCAAAACCAAACATTGGTAGTACTTGTACATAACACCTGGAAATGCCTGAAGGAAAGTCCAGTTTACCCATTTGACAACTGCCAAGAAATACACTTATGAAGAATGATGTGTCATCTGTACAGTCCAAATAAAACAATTGCATGAGTGATTTACATGTGGTTAAGACTGTTGTAGGATAAGAGGTTTGAAGAAAATTTATTCCTGCAAGTGAGACACTCATTGGCAGACAAATCTACAATCACAGATCTCCTCAGCAACAACCCATGCAAGCTCATAGTTGATTCTAAGACAGCTGTTGTTGGAAAGTTATTGAAAGAAGAACCGAGAAACACATTTACTGTTTCAAGCTAGAAAAGTTGGAAAATAAGATATAAAATTTTTATATCTTACCAAGTTACTGAAAGTATTTTTCATTACAGTTTCTTCTTGAAATGGAAATAAACAAAAATACCCCCACAAAAATCCATAAATGCCTTCTTTGCTATGTATTTCTTCTCCTTTCAGTATAAGGAAGGAAGTCCTGGAAAGGAAAAAGCAGGGAGGAAGGCAGCATGGAAGAACAACTTCAGCTATTTATTTTTGACTCTCACTGTTGCTACTGAGTAAAGTGATAGAAAGGAGATAGCCACAAAAAGGTAAGAACAGAGATGACACATTCAAGTCTATGAATTCTTCTCCTTGTAACTGATTTTGCTTTCTTGGCATAGATTTTCAATAATTTTTTTAAGGTTTGTGCCTTAGCACAACCTTCTTAGTTTGTATATGAACAACATTACAGTTTGTTTCTGGCATCATCATGACAACCAAGTTCCATTTGCAAGCATAAGACCGCAGGAAAAAACAATTTCTGCACTGTTTACACATATGAACAGATAGCAATCACTGTTGCATAGGCACAACTTACACTTGGCCAAATGATACAAAATCCCCACTGTCAACCATTTCAGAGTGAACAACTTAAGAGCTGAAGCAGTTTCTATGGAGCTCCTCTATTCCGTTCTAGCAGAGAAGAATAAGACAAAGAAATGGCACAAAACAGTTCGTATGGATTCCTGTTATAGTGATATGCCCAATGGCATGTATGAAGCACAGAAAAGAGTTTGAAGTTTCCCCTGGAATGAGATTTAAAGAAAATCCAGCATGTTTAACCTAAATAATTAATAATAATTATAATAATTTGTATTAATAATAGCAATTTTTTTTTTTTTTTGCAGATAGAACTGATTTATTTAGGAAAACTACCACCTTCCCATGCTCAAAAACATAAAAACAAATGTAACTTTGATAAAAGATTTATATTCTTGACTGCCGTATACATCAAATCATCCCAAATGAAAAGATCTCAATTTTTGACCTTTTAAACCATAATTTCAAGAAGGCATAGGAGCAAAATATCCAAACAACTGCTTCCGTCCGTGCTAATGTGAAGATGCTGGTATAATAACATCTTGCATAAACTGCATTGCAACAGATACTAATTAGTGATTATGCTGCAAAATAAAGCAAAACAGAAAAACCACCATCCTTCTCCTTTTCAAACAACAACAGCAATTGTCACTGATTTTCCAAATTACATGATTTCCCCTGCTATTGTTCTAAGCTAAGCCTGTTTGTCTGAACCCTTTTCCTGTTTCTGAAAAACATTCCATATGATTAGGTAAATGGAGGGAAAATGACAAAGAAAGCAAACAGCAAAATTTAAACAAACAAAAAAAGCAATGAAATACTAGATCATGAGAACAAATCTGATAATTTCTGCAAGAAGTAACACTCACTCTAGGCTGATGGCATGCGTTGCCTGCAGATGAAAAGTTTACATTGTTTAAAAGTTTATTTTTTGAACTTCATCAAGCTTTGGATTTGCCTCAGAAAAGTCACACCAAAAGCAGTATCAAGGGACATGCCATGTAAAGATGAAGAATATTCAATGTGGGAATGGCTGGAATGCTTTTAAGGCATTTCTGCTACTGACTTTGCATTACAATGCCAATGGCTGCCATATTATCTATGATCTTGCACAACAACAAGGGCCTGCAGAGATGAGCATTTGACTGTCATTTACTTAGTGAATGCGAAGACTGATAAGGGAAAAGGAAAGTAAATTGCTGGATGGATAGGACAAGTCCAACTGCATGATATCCAAAAGGCTAAATGCCAAGAGCTGCACTTTGAGTCATATCAACTCCATGCAGTGGTAGAGGCATGGGGAATAGTGCCTGGAGAGCTGCCCAAGCAAACATAAGCCAACAAGTGTGCTCAGCTGGCCAAGAAAGTCAATGGCATCCTGGCCTGCATCAGAAATAGTGCGATCTGCAGGACCAGGGAAATTACTGTGCCCTTGTACACAGCACTGATGAGATTGTACCCTGAAAACTCTTCAGTGTAACAGTTCATTTTTGGAGCTCCTTGATATAAAGATGATCTCAAGTTGCCGAAGTATGTGCACAGAAGACGTCAAAGCTGGTGAAGGGATGAGATTGGAGGAATTCTTAGGAGTGGCGGAGGGAAATGTGGCTATCTAGTCTGGAGAGGAGGAGGATGAGGGGAGACTTCATCACTCTCCATAAGTACCTGCAAGAAGGTTGCAGTGAGGAGGCTGTCAGTCCTTTTACTGGGTGACAAATGATAGGACATGAAGAGACAGTCACAAGTTACACCTTTGAGGTTTAGGCTGGCTATGAGGAAGAATTTCTCCATGAAGAGGGTTATCAAGCCTTGGTGCGGGTTGCTTAGGGAAATGCTGGAGTCTCCATCCCTGGAGGTATTTAAGAGACATGTGGATGTGGCACTGAGGGGCTCTGTTCAGTGATGGGACTTGGTATGTCAGGGTGATGGCTGGACTTGGTAATCTTTTCCACGGTAGATGATTCTATGACTGTAATTAATTCTGAATTTTCATCCATCATTCTCATCTTGTATGAATTCAGCATCGTTTTAAAGCAGCAGACATGCAAAATGTGTATGTTTGTGTAACTGCCTGTTCAGTCCTGTGTTCGTACTGTCATTCACGTAGGTTTTACTCTGATACTGTAATTCTTCAAAAACAAACAAACAAACAAAAAAAAAAAACCACCAAAAACACCAAACAAACAAACAACCTCATGTTGACATAAAGGGTATTCATACTGTGCATTAATTTGAATCACTGATTAGAAGAGTCTGACACAATGCAGGCAGTGTATTCTTTCATTGCTCAGCATTTACAAGAGTTGCAACTGACTTCTGAGTAGCAAGAGTACACATGGAAGACATATTGCTTAGACAATAAGGCACCTAAGACCACATTTGTTAATAGTAACTACATGCTGAATTGACACCGTGATGCAGAACTCTCTTTCAGACTACACAGCTACGATAAAGATCAACAAATCAGTCTATGAACACCTGAACCCCATAAGGTTCTCAAATTCTGCAATACTCCACAATGAAAATGATGGGGATAGAAACATATTCATCTGTGTAGAAGGATACATGAACCAGAAAATCCTTTTTTTCCCCCTGTTTATTAGATACAGTGTCCCTTTACCTTGTAACAGGTGAATAGAAGAAACAGGAGCAGTTGTTCTCTTTAAAAAGTTGCAGCTGGCACTAATTTCTTCTGAACTGCTGCCTTTTCTTGGAGCTGGAACAGATCCTACCTGCAGAATGGCTGCTCATTTCAGTGTATGTGTACATGGGAAAATAAGGTAGCAAGATATATACTTATTTGTTAGAATACCGAAATATCAGTCTCACAACACTGCCTAGCCAATTGCATTTATTTCCAGTAAAGTGACTACACTTGTAGCTTGATTGCATGCCAAGGCTCACAATGTGCTTTATAGACGCAGAAAATTATGTTAATAGAATAGAAATTATAGTGTTACTATCCACAAGCACAGACTTTTCTATGACAGTATTGTTTACTTAAAAGTAAACACTATAACATTAATGCTAAATTGCTTGCTCAGATTTTAAAGCAAACTTAACCAATTAGTGTTTCTGCTTACTTGTCAGTTGCAGATAACTAAATATTTGCTTGTGAAGCCAAGCTGCAGGTCTGCCAAATGCTCTCATTTAGTGTTTTTTTCCCCTCAGTAAACAGATGCATTTCTTAGTTTCTCAATTTATTCTCTGACACCCTCCTAGTTCCAGAAGCAGAAACGTCGCCTGTTATAATTTTTAGTGAAAACAGCACTAAAATTGTGCTATTTGGTCTCAAATACTTTCAATAATTAACATACTTCTGTGATTCTGTGTTTCTGTGATTTT